AATGTATTTTAACTCGTTAAAACATATATCTTTGATCTAAGCCGTAGATTTAACAATCCGTTACGAGAAGACGTATCCACCATTGATGGAAGTTAAAGACGATGATTCACAACACAAGTCAATCTGCAGCTCGATTTTTGAGAAAATTTCATAAATCCTCTGCTCGTACTAAAATATATATATATATATATATATATATATATATATTTTTTTTTGGAAGAATGTCAGAGATTCTTCACATTGAGGCCCCTCAATTCAATAAAAATATCAACGAAATTGTACTGAAAATTCGATAATTTGAAATTATTGGTACAATTATGAAGCATTGTAATAATTTGGTTAAAATATCAACTTCACCTTTATATTTTGAAATTTATTTAATTTTAGTGCTTTTAGTAAATATTTAAATTTATTTCCATTTTGTAACTTTTTATTACGACAATTTTTTTATTATTACATAACAATTTTTTAAAAAAATAAATTTAATAAATTAATATTTTATGAAAATAAAAAAAAATCGTTTTTTTCCGTACAAAGGACCGTGAGGTTTGTAATGGGCAAACTGTGGAGTACTCTGAAAAGGACACTGTCAAAGCTTTGGTTTCTGCCATACGGATGGATTTTTGTAGTTTTATGCAGACCTTTATTTATTTATTTATTATTATTATTTTTATTTTCTAGGAGTGATTTTAATAAATAGAAAAAGTAACATAATCTCCATAGTATGATATTGTCGGTAAGCTCTCATGGTTTTACTTTAAACTTCTCAAAAGAACTCATACGAATGAAGATAATATTCCTTGATTATAAGTTTTGAAATAATGTATGAAATTTTACCGGGAATTTTTTATATAAAGGGTATTATAGTATTTTTTTAGATTTTTATGATATAATTATTTTTATTAATTTAATGATAAAAATGAATTTTGACGTCATCAAATTTGGATACTATGGTACTATTTTTCTGTTCAATTTAATAAAGGAAAAAGAAAAAGTAATTGTGGTCATGATACTACGTGTCGTCAAATTGCTTCACAAGACAGGACGATGCATGATCTTTGGTGTCGCTTTCTGCCGCAAGAGATCGAATCCGTGATGAACTTGGGCGACTTGTCGGTTGTCGTATCCTGCGTGAGGCTGACGACTACATGTCGTTACTGCATAATAATTGCTAACGTGGAGATTTGAATCTTTTACCACATCACAGAGAGGCCGTACAATATGAGCTTTACACCCGACTGCCATGTGGATGCCTCTTTGGGGGTCCACGTCATGTGAGATGTATCCTGGAAACTTCCATGAAACTTCCTTTGTCCATGTCACAAACCGAATTCAATAATAATAGTAATAATATATTTCATATAATTTCATATCTCTAAATTTTGATTTTTAAAATGGGGTTTTTATTCATCTAAATTCATTAAATAATGACAATTTTCATATTAATGTACGTATATTTCTGAATTTTTAAATGATTTATTCATTTTTTTTATAGAAAAACCCAATAATAAATTAACATGATAAATTTAAATAATAATAAGTTATTAAGATTTTAAGAAAGCCGATATAGTGAAATCGGTAGACAGGCTGCTCTTAGAAAGCAATACTAGAACATCTCAATTTGAGTCTAAGTAGCGACATGTCATTTTACGACCAATATGTCGTTTTGTAATTGTATGGCTTGAGAAGGTACCATAGAAATGAAAGGACTCCTTATCATTATCACGTTAGGAGATAATAACAGGATCAGAAATTTACTCCATACTTCTAATACTGGAATCATTCCTCTATCATCTAGACATGACTCTCGTGGGTTTAACTAGCATAATTAATTACGATGTTTCAAATGTTTCAACTGAATCAATTACACGATTCAGCAGGATCATAGAAGATTCAACAAACTGAATCAATTATTTTTGTTATCGAACCCAATAGTAAGTATCATTTGAGTCTATCTAGCTTAGTTGGTAGAGCGCAACGCTCTTAACCTTGTGGACGTATATTTCTACAATTTTAAAATTGTTATCGGACTCAATTATATTTCAAAAATTGTCTTATATTATTATTTATTTTTAAAATCTAGAAAATGATGAAGTGGATTTGAGATTGAACCCAATGGTTTGCACAACGTAAGCCTGTCTAGCTTAGTTCGTAGGCAACGCTCTTAACCTTGTGGTCGTGGGTTTCAGCCCCACAGTGAGTGTTTAAAATTTAGAAAATGATGCAATGGACCTGAGATTAAACCCAATGGTTTGCACCATGTGAGTCGGTCTAGCTTCAAACTTTGTCCTATATGATTATTTATTTTTAAAATTTAGAAAATGATACGGTGGACCTGGGATAGAATCCAATGGTTTGCACCATGCGAGCCCGTCTAACTTAGTTGGTAGAGTGCAAGGCTTTTAACCTTGAGCTTGTGGGCTTGAGCCCCGTAAAATGTTGCACTGGACCATAGATGGAACCTAATGATTTGCAGCATGCGAGCTTGTCTAGCTAAGTTGGTAAAGCGCAAGGCTCTTAACTTTGTGGTAGTGGGTTTGTTCCTCATGGTGGGTGTTTGTTTTTTTAAATTTTGTTCTCCTACTATTTCTACAATTTTAAAATTGTTTCGGGCTCAATTATTATCCAAACTTTGTCATATATTATTATTTATTTATAAAATATAGAAAATGATGTAGTGGACCTGAGATCGAACTTAATGGTTTATACTATGTGAGCCTGTCTAGCTTAGTTGATAGATCGTTGGTTTGAACCCTACGGTAGATGTTTGTTTTTTAAAATTTTGTTCTATTATTCAAACTTTGTCATGTATTATTATTTATTTTTAAAATTTAGAAAATAATGCAGTGGACTCGAGATCGAACCCAATGGTTTACATCATGCGAGGTAGTCTAGCTTAGTTGGTAGAGTGTATGGCTCTTAACCTTGTGGTTGTGGGTTTGAGCGTTATAATGGATGTTTGATTTTAAAATTGTTGTCGGGCTCAATTATTATTCAAACTTTGTCCCATATTATTATTTATTTTTTAAATTTAGAAAATGGTGTAGTGGACCTGAGATTGAACCTAATGGTTTGCACCGAGCCCGTCCAGGGAGCGCAAGGCTCTTAACCTAACAATTTTGTTTTTTAAAATTGTTGTCGGACTCAATTATTATTCAAACTTTGTCCTATATTATTATTTATTTTTTTTAATTTAGAAAATGGTGCAGTGGACCTGAGATCGAACCTAATGATTTACATCGTGTGAGTTTGTTTAGCTTAGTTGGTAGAGTGCAAGGCTCTTAACTTTGTGGTCGTGGGTTCGAACCCCATGGGTGGGTGTTTGATTTTAAAATTGTTGTCGGGCTCAATTATTATTCAAACTTTGTCCTATATTGTTATTTATTTTTTAAATTTAGAAAATGATGCAGTGGACCTAATGGTTTGCAGAAGTGAGCCTGTCTAGCTCAGTTGGTAGAGCGGCTCTTAACTTGTTTCAAAATTGTTGTTAGACTCAATTATTATTCAAACTTTGTCCTATATTATTATTTATTTTTTAAATTTAGAAAATGATGTAGTGGACCTGAGATCGAACCTAATGGTTTGCACCATGCGAGCCCGTCTAGCTCAGTTGGTAGAGCGCAAGGCTCTTAACCTTGTGGTCGTGGGTTTGAGCCCCACAGTGGGTGTTTGATTTTAAAATTGTTGTCAAGCTCAATTATTATTCAAACTTTGTCATATATTATTATTTATTTTTTAAATTTAGAAAATGGTGCAGTGGACCTGAGATCGAACCTAATGATTTGCATGATGTGAGCTTGTCTAGCTTAGTTGGTAGAGCGCAAGGCTCTTAACCTTGTGGTCATGGGTTTGAGCCACCATGTTGGGCGTTTGATTTTAAAATTATTGTCGGGCTCAATTATTATTTAAATTTTGTCCTATATTATTATTTATTTTTTAAATTTAGAAAATGATGCAGTGGACCTAAGATCGAACCTAATGGTTTCCACCATGTGAGCCCATCTAGCTCAATTGGTAGAGTGCAAGGCTCTTAACCTTTGTGGTTGTGGGTTTGAGCTCTATGGTGGGTGTTTGATTTTAAAATTTTTGTCAGGCTCAATTATTATTCAAACTTTGTCCTATATTGTTATTTATTTTTTAAATTTAGAAAATGATATAGGGGACTCGAGATCGAACCTAATGGTTTGCACCACGCGAGCCCGTTGTCACGGCCATGCTCGTCCAAGGCGTGTTGCCGGGCTCAATTATTATTCAAACTTTGTCCTATATTGTTATTTATTTTTTAAATTTAGAAAATGATACAGGGGACCCAAGATCGAACCTAATGGTTTGCACCACGCGAGCCCGTTGTCACAGTCATGCTCGTCCAAGGTGTGTTGCCCATGGCCGCATGCCAACCCTTTATGTCTTTTCATATTCTAGTGTTTTACTTTTATATTTCTAGGAAGTATGACGTTTCAGAAATATCATGTCTAGGCCTGTCAGACATGAAATGCCTCATAATATACTATAGGGGGATACGACTAGTTGTCAACTTCTCCCTACCCAAGGTTATATACTGTAAGCCGTTGTTATTTCTCTCTTGCTTGCTTATATAACGTCTCTTTCAAAAATCTCTCTTTCGAAAATCTCTCTCTGCCCTCGCTTTCTAAAACCTTCTCTTAAAACCGAGGCCAGAGGCTCGAGCATATGTCGCTTGGCCGTAGGTGACGCAAGAACGAATTGGCTGAGCTCACTTGACGTTGGAAAGTGAGTGCCGCACTATCGCAAGTCCGCTGCCATTAAAAGCGTGATTGAGACACCTGTCTAGCTTAGTTGGTAGAGCGCAAGGCTCTTAATCTTGTGGTTGTGAGTTTGAGCCCATGGTGGGCGTTTGCTTTTTAAATTTGTTGTTGGGCTCAATTATTATTCAAACCTTTTCCTATCTTATTATTTATTTTTTAAATTTAGAAAATGATGCAGTGGACCTAAGATCGAACCTAATTGTTTGCACCATGCAAGCCCGTCTAGCTCAGTTGGTTGAGTGTAAGGCTTTTAACCTTATGGTTGTGGGTTTGAGCCCCATGGTGGGCGTTTGACTTTAAAATTGTTGTAGGTCTTAATTATTATTCAAACTTAGTCCTTTATTATTATTTATTTTTTAAATTTAGAAAATGATGCAGTGGACCTGAGATCGAACCCAATGGTTTACAGCACGCGAGCTCGTCTAGCTCAGTTGGTAGAGTGCAAGGCTCTTAACCTTGTGGTTGTGGGTTCAAGCCCCACGGTGGGCATTTGTTTTTTAAAATTGTTGTCGGGCTCAATTATTATTCAAACTTTGTTCTATATTATTATTTATTATTTAAATTTAGAAAATGATGCAGTGGACTCGAGATCGAACCTAATGGCTTGCACCATGCGAGCCCGTCTAGCTCAGTTGGTAGAGCGCTCTTAACCTTGTGGTCGTGGGTTCAAACCACACGGTGGGCATTTGTTTTTTAAAATTGTTGTCGGGCTCAATTATTATTCAAACTTTGTCCTATATTATTATTTATTTTTTAAATTTTGAAAATGATGCAGGGGACTTGAGATCGAACCTAATGATTCACACCATGTGAGCTTGTCTAGCTTAGTTGGTAGAGCGCAAGACTCTTAACTTTTTGGTCGTGGGTTTGAACCCCACGGTGGGCATTTGATTTTAAAATTGTTGTCGGCTCAATTATTATTCAAACTTTTTCTTATATTATTATTTATTTTTTAAAATTTAGAAAATGATGCAATGTACCTAAGATCGAACCTAATGGTTTGCACTGCTCGAGATTGTCTAGCTCAGTTGGTAGAGTACAAGGCATTTAACCTTGTGGTCGTGGGTTTGAACCCTACGGTTGGTGTTTGTTTTTTAAATTTTGTTCTCTTACTAATTCAATGGTTTGCAGTGGACCTGAAATCGAACCCAATAATTTGCACCATGCGAGCCTATCTAACATAGTTGATAGAGCGTAAGACTCTTAACCTTGTGTTTGCAGGTTCAAGACCCACGGTGGTTGTCTCTTATTATTTCTACCATTTTAAAATTATCGTTGGACTCAATTATTATTCAAACCTTTTCCTATATTATTATTTATTTTTAAAATTTAAAAAATTATGTAGTGGACCTGAGATCGAACCCAATTATTTGCACCATGTGAGCATGTTTTAGCCTAGTCGTTAAAAGTGCAAGGCTCTTAACCTTTTTGTCATGGGTTCGAATCCCACGATGGGCGTTTGTTTTTGTTTAATAAGGTCGGTGGGTGTTTTTTTCTTTTTCTTTTTAATTTTCCTCTTACTATTTCTACAATTTTAAATTAAAATTGTTGTCGGACTCAATTATTTTTCACAAAATATTACGTGAGCCCGTCTAGCTTAGTTATTAAAGCGCAAGGTTCAAAATTCGGAAAAGGATTTAGTAGTCTTAACGATGTAGTCGTGGGTGATAGCCCCAAGCCGAGCGTTTTTTGTTTTTATACTTTTTAAACTTTGTTCTATTGTTGTTTCTATAATTAAGAATTGTTGAGTTGACTCACATAATAAATTTATAATGTTGTCAGTAAAATTTTTAAAAAATGTTATAAACCACAGCCAAACCAACCATGGCATTTTTAGAGCTTCCAAATTCTCTTGTTTTTTTTTTCTCATTTTGAAGGTCCACTGATACAAGAATTAATCCTCAATTGGCTTATATATTACAAAGAAATGCCTTTTCTAAGGAATCATTTTCCAGTGTGTAAAGAACCAACCAACCTTAAATTTTACATGCCTACCCGAATGCATAACAACACAAATTAAAGAAACAATACATACAAAAGCCTTTTAAATACAAACAGTCGCACCACTCACCATGTCATTTTGTATATGGAGGTCAGTCAACTCTCTGGATGTTTTCAGCCAACTTCACAAGATTCAACAATGAAAGTCTCCGCCGAACACGACCTTCAAATCAAATTAGTCTAAAAAGGATGACGAACATGAAAGAATTTATTGGCCTAGTCGGTTTTTGATTTGTCGAGGCAAGAAATACAATTATGAGGAGAGCTGGAACCTGCCAGAAGGCTTTTTTCTTCTCCATCCCTTGAAGTTTCAATACAAAAGGAGATACCATGGTGGCATTAGAACCAAAAATTGGGGTTTAAAGAACAAACTAGTGCATTAGTTTTGGAAGCTTACAAAGGCAGCATAATACACGAAGGTCAGTCCTGCCAATGCAACGAATGCTATTTGGAAAACATTATACCTGCAATGCAACAGCCAAGTATATTCAACCAAATCAAAAGCACAGATGGCATGGATTCAGGATCAAAAAAATCAGTGGATAAAATTCTCCTCACTCACTTGTACAAATATCTGATACCGCGAAGAGACTGCAATGTGTGTCCAAAGATTTCTTGTGCTGCAGTTGCTCGTGCATAGTACGCAAATGCCGTGGAGCAAAACTGAATCACACTATAAAAAAGAAAACAGACATGATATAATCAGTCAAACAACTTGATTAAGATACAGAAAGAACCCTTCTAATTTCAGCTATAGATGACAACTAAATAACAACTGCTCAACATTTAACAAAGATCTTCCTAATCTTTGGGTCAGACTTTTTTCTTTTAATGAAAAGAATGACTTTCATTGAGAAGGAATAAATCTCAAGTTTAGACTAATGAGAACATCTTAAATTCATCCACCAGCATCACAAAAGAGACAAGCAATCAATCTCGTGCTTGTCGTCTGGAGAGCCTCGTATCTTTAAAAAAAGAATCAAGGTAGTGCCTTTCTGGGTAGTCAGTTATTTGGCACTAATTTAAATTACTTTAATCAACCGAAGCCTCAATATTTGGTAGGGGGACTAATAGGATTTGTAATGAGAGAATAGATCAGGGGTTCTATTTTCCAAACTGAGAGTTTTGTGTAATCATTCTCCCTTTTTTCTTCAAGTCAATCAGTGACGTTTTTGTAACTCCTTGATTAAGGAGAGGGATTTGAGACACCATGTCCCCTCCCATCCCTGTTTGTACATCCTTTGAAATTAATGATAGTTTCTCATACTTATCCACAAATGTATCCCGGGTTTTGTCGCCCCAAACTGTTTCTTCATTGGTGATCATTATTGGCCAGCCTCCACCATAGAAGTTCTAATGCAAATAGTAGATAATAAGCAATAATAATTGAAGATCCTAACCTGATAGAGCATAGGAGGATGAGCCCCACATTAAACAGGAAAGAGTTCATCAGAGTGGCTCCCCACCTGTATACAAGAATAGATGAAAGAGAAACAAAAATGTGACGTCAATTTTGAGCAATCAACAGCTGGACAGACAAAAAAAAAAAGGAACAAACTCAACACTAAGAAAACTGTAAATACTTCATAGGATGAATTGTGATAAAAACTAGTCTCAGGCCAAGCATCATGGCTCCCGCAATCACTGCTAGAAGAAGGTAGAAGCAGAAGAATGCAAATGCTGCAGTTCCAAGAAGACCTAGTGACATGGGAAAATAATCTTCATATCGACATTTATCACAGAAAAAAGCATGAAAGGAAAATATGAGGAAAAGAACTGTACCCCAAACATCATCCAGCTTGATAAAAACTTCATTTAGAAAAGGAGACAGCGGGGGATCAACGAGCAGATATATAATGATATGTATAACCCAGGCCACTGAAACAATCAACCTGTCAAACAGAAAGAAAAAAAATAATTATACAATGCGACTGAATATGACTCAAATTGTGAAAAAACAAAGATAAACACGAGTCTAATATACTTGCTTAAGAAACTGATATCCCAACAATGGAACATAACTACTTCAAGAAAAAAAAAAACAAGGCCTTAATTTTATGAAAATGTCATGGAAATATCGATAAAATGTTGTTGTCGATAGATACTTTTGGAACATGTACATATCTATATATATTAAATTTACACTTCTTAAGTGAGTTTGAATGCTTATTATTTATATTATATTCATTGTAGCAACATTTTGTGATCCATTTTTATGATTTATCGATTTTTTTTACTATATAATGGAAATATCAGTTCACCCCTTATTGTCGATGTCAACCACATGGATATGTCAAAATGTCAATATGTCGATGGAAATTTAATATACCCAGGTGGCAACTAGGTCAACTAACTCGTGAAGAATAACAGAGAAAAAAGAAAAAAAAAAAAAGAGAAGTGGAGTGGACATTATCTATCTTCAGTAAAAGCCCAAGTTCCTGACTTTGGAAGAGCAACAACGTTTTATCAATCTTTCCACCAAATATTTTAAAGTCGAGAGCTCAACTTGTCACCAAAACAAAAAGAAAAGAACCTCCAATATGATCTACCCCCTTAATCTAGCAACATATAGCAAAAATTGCAAGATGTCGCCTCCTTCACTCTTCAACAAATCATCGTACACAGTTAAGCACCTATTTTTAAATAAAGTGTGGATGTGAAATAGATGCTAAGAAAGAAAGAAAGAAAGAGGAATATGTAATGCTTTAACAGAAAAATCTAGGGGGAGCATAACTTCACTCACCCCAAAACTCCCAACACAAGTTTTGCCAAGTAGCCAAGAACGGTCAATGCCCATGCAGTCTCCGCCTGTGGTTCAGCATATTAATATTTTCATAAAAAAAGATAATAGAAGTTAGTGCAATTGTACAATAGAAAAGATAAATAATAATAACAATAAATCCAGCAGTCCACCTTTTCTCCCTGTGGGTACATCTCTTCTAAAAGATTTACATCTTCTTCCAATTGAAGCAACTCCTACAAAATTAAACAAGTAGATGCCACAATAAACACATTAAGAATTGAGAATGAACATCTAAAATCAAACTTAGTAATGTATTGAAGTTCTCATCTGACAAAAACGACACTCACAAGACTTCTAGCAAAAGCTGAGGATCTTCAGCAATTATGTGATAATAGTGAACAGTGCATTTAATCAAAACCAAAACCAAATTCAAAAATAAAAGGAAGGATAAAGCCCAAAAGGACATCAGCACCAACATTGTCCAGGGTGAAACATACCTTCTCTACAGCCTTCACATTCTTTCGCCATTTTCTACCCTTAGAACC